TTCCCTTGGTGGCCAGGAGGGTGCTGGTGCACCTGTGAACCCACGAACACTGTTTTCCCTCTCCACCTATGAAATGAAAGGCAGCTGCTACCCATCTCACCTCAATACTCAGAAGTAACTCAGTCTAGACTTATTTGTCATATTTAATAAATGTATCGTGTATTATAACAAAAACATTTAGTGTTTACTTTGTACTAAGCAGTTCTCGGCACTTTACAGAAGCCACTAATCAAAGCAAAATTAAGTAATCTGATGAATTCAAAGCTCTGGTTTGCTCCTACAGTCCATGGCATTTAAAAAAATGGCAGTGGAAGATCAAATGTATTCATTTAATGAATATTTATTGCTTTTTAAAACAAGATCGGTTATGATTTTTTGAGTGCTTACTATGTGCAAAGCTGGGCTAAGGGTTTGCATGTGCTGTCTTATTTAATCCTCTCAAACAACTCGAGGAGACTGATGTTGGCATTTTCCTTCACTTTACCTATAAGAAAAATGAACTCAGAGAGGTTGAATGATTTGCCCATGGTCTCAAAGCTTGTGAATGGCTCATTCCAGAATCAAAGGCTGGATTGTGAGTCCAGAATTAGAACTTGGAAACACTGCACTGTATCCCCCCTTCTAATAAAAACCAACACAATTCCAGGGGTTGATTAGGCCATGATGGCATACCTCAAAAAAAAAAAAAAATCCTCAGAACTGGTGATTCCAAAGCAAGTTGGAGAAATGGATGTTATGGTGTGGTGTCGGGGGAGGGATGCGGCTCATTTCTAAGGAGGCAAGTAAAAAGGTCGGCGTTATCTGGAAGGCTTTATATAGGACATGAGAAAATGGTGAGAAAACTGGTCTTTTAAAGAAGGACAAGGTGGGGTAATCAGAGCACTGTCTCACGGCTTAGCTCTGAGGTGCAGGCTAATAAACTACAACCTGCTTGAGCTGCTTCCTCCAGGTCACTGTTAATTGGGAAATAAATTAGAAATGAAGGTGGTTATACTTTATACCTCTCCACTTTACAGCGGTAAAATGTAGGTTTACCTTTATGTAAAGGTAAGGATGAGAGTGAAGGATGAGAGTTTTCTGGAAAAGCATTGTTTTGTTTTTTAATTCAAGTTCATTTATTCCTTGACTATTAGGGACATTGAGACGATACAGGCAGTCAGATTTTGAGGTTGAAGTATCCTAATGTACCACAACATTGAGGAGCAGCACCATATAAACTGGTGCACATGTTCAATCCACCTCCCCCACCCGCACCCCTCCCACACTTCAGCCTGAGCAGGTCTCCAGCAGTGCTGAAATGATTAGGCTTACCTACGAAAAGCTCATCACCTGTATCTATTCCACATACACTACAAGAGCAACATACTTACTTTTTTTCAGGCAAAGCTATTTACTGTGTTTTCCCAGCCCACTAGCACCTGTGTATCCCCCTGCATTTGTAGCCTGTCATGACAATCAGCTTATGTAGCACTTCTGTTTCCCAAATCCTTCCCACATACCTGTCTCAGTTAATCTCTCAAAACTCTATTCTTACAGTTGAAGAAAACTAGCTTCAGAGGGACTAAATCACTTTTCTGGGCCATCTGGGGGGCTCAGTCATTTAAGCGTCTGACTCATGGTTTAGGCTCAAGTCATGATCTCAGGGTCCTGGGATCAAGCCCCGCATTGGGCTCCACGCTCAGCCGGGAGTTTGCTTGTCCCTCTCCCTCCCCCTCTGCTCCTCCTCCACTCTCTCTTTCTTTCTCTCTCTTAATCAATAAATAAAATCTGAACGAATGAATGAATGAATGAGTGAATAAATCACTTTTCCAAGGTCAAAAATAACAAATAGAGCAGCCAGACTTCCAATCTTTTGACTCCAAGTCCAGTATTCTTTCTGGAGACTGTTATTGGACCAGCAGCAGGGACCAGCAACAATGTCATCTTTTCCTCACCACTGTGGCTATGATACTTGGCACAGTGCCAGACACACACTAGTGTTCAATAGATAAATTTTTTAAATTTTTGATTAAAAAATAGATAATAGTGGTGCCTGGGTGGCTCAGTCAGTTGAGCATCTGCCTTTGGCTTAGGTCATGGTCCCAGAGTCCTGGGATCGAGCCCCGCATCTGGCTCCCTGCTCAATGGGGAGTCAGCTTCTCCCTCTCCCTCTGCCTGCCACTCCCCCTGCTCGTGCTTTCTCTCTGTCTCTCAAATAAATAAATAAAAATCTTTATTTAAAATATAAATAAATAAATAATATATAATAAAGCTTTAAGAATAATCTAACAAGTCTTGAATTTCATAGATAACAAAACAGAAACTCACCAAAATCAGACAAATTATCCAACTTAAAACAAGTTTCCATTATTTATTTATTTATTTAGGTAGGCAGCAAAGCAAAGTTTATTGAGTGATAGTAAAGTGATAGTACAAAGCTCCCAAAGAGGGAGGGGACCCAAGAGGGTTGCCATGCTCCTGTTATTTTTATAATGCTTATTATTATTGACTTGTATTTTTACCTCACCCAAGTCTGATAGATATTCACAACTGTTCTCAATAAAATTGCTCAATAGAAAAACAAATATCCTGGTGCTTAGAAGGGGGGGTGCGGCAGACCGGGATTCCTGAACATGTCATGCATAGTGGCCAAAGAAATTTTGCTAATCAGTTATTTTCTATGTAGTTAAAATAAGAGTTAACAACCCAGAGCAGAACAGAAAGAAAGCACCTAGTCTGAAATAATGAGGGGTGCTAAGTTCCCCACGTCCATCAGCTTCATTTTCCTTGTGTTGTGAAGTCATACTTCTCTCCCCCAAGCTGTGCACTCTAATGATCAAGGTTTGAATGCCACCTCTACCATTTAGTAAATGTGTGAGTTTGTGAAATTTAGTGAACACCTTCACTGAAAACCTAGGAAAGAATTCCTTTTCAAAAGATGGTTGTGAGCATTCAGCGAGACAGTTTCCACAAAGCCTTGGTGCATGGTACATGCTTTTGAATATTTGCTTTCTTCCCTGGGGCCACTGGGTCCATCACTAAAGCCATTACCTGGCCCTTCCTTGACAGAAGTGTTTCAACATTTATTGGGTTTCATTTCCAAATCTTACAAACTTTAGAAATTAATCTTAGTAATGTATTTGTTAAACATGTCCACTAAGCAAAATACTACCATAAACCAAACATACAGAATGTCTAATGAGTGGGCAGAGATTAATTGGTCAATTACTAGGTTCTAGCATATTTTACAGCTTCTATTTCTCAAAAGATTTTAGATTTGAATTTATAATAAAGGGTCATTAAACCACATTTGAAAGCTTATTGTTAGCATATAATCTTAGCAGCCTTCTTTTTGCCTTCTGCATAATTCGTGAAGCTCAGACCATTTTATCTTCCAATTAAGTGTTTGGTTATATCCCTTGCTTCCATATATCACCAGTATCTACTATTGATCATTTTTCCTTTATTTTATATTTCAGAAATTTTACTGGCCATTGGCATATCCTGATTCTCCACCAAAATAAATGTACTCTGTTATTAATAATAATGTGTTGCATCTAGGCTTTATTATCTGTAGCAATTCAGAGCTCTTAAAAATAAGACACACAGATCTTCCTTTCTTAACAAAACAAAACAAAAAAAAATTACATGGTCATTTAATATTTAGGTATCACGACATCAAGTATTCAATTCTTTACTTTTAGCTTTGCCAAGAAGAAATCACCCAAGAGAGAAAAGGATCACCCTATGTACAGGCCACCTCAATTCTACTCCCTGGGCCCAGAATTCCACTTAGTATAGCCAGCTTTGGACTGACTCTCTTCTTGAATCCTGCCTCCTTCCCTCCTCTCTCAAGTCAATTCCCCACCCCACTCACCCCTCTACCAGGCACAGTTAGTCCAGCTGTTAATTTTCAAGTTCTTTGTTGCTCTGAGTGCTATTGCATTTTGGAACGTCACATGATGCCTGAATTTCCATTGTTCAAAAATCTCTTTTACCCTCTTTATGTTGACCCAGCAAATTTAAGGTGATATCTTATAACTGTGACTGTTAAGTAGCATAATCAAATGAAATTATATGAAAATGTCTCTGGCATATATAGCCAGTGCTTAACAAATATTATCTACTGTTTTTAGTTCTAGTTTTATCATGAATTTATCTGTAATTTGGCTATTATTGTGAGCACAATTCAGTAATTAATCCCTTAATACTATTTCATACCTAGCAAAGCTTAATTTTGTGTGTATTCATATCAGAACTGTAAATTCTTTATAGTGTGTCATGCTTCTATTTCTCTATATGCCCCTAAGTATAAACAATGAAAATGGTACTAGCAACAGTCTATTATATCATGATGTCATTACAGAAATCCTCTAGGGTTGCACTGTCATACCATTTAATAGATGGAGAAACTGAAACTTGTGTAGCTTATAGTGATGGAGCCACTGTTCAATTTAGGAATTCACCCAACGTCATTTAGCTAGTAAGTGGCAGAACCAGGATTTACACCCAGACACCTGGCTCCCAAACCCACAGACCCAGCCAGTATGCTTCTCTTCCTTCTTCATCTCTTGAATGGCCACTTTAAAAGAACTTGGTAATTGCAAGGTTCTCTGAACGAAGATCATTAGAATGGTGAATGTCAGAGTGCTTCTGAATTTTGAGCATCGAAATTATACCCATTAGGGAAAAAAAATACATCCATTAGAAGATATTTATGAGATAGTTAAACCGTGAGACGCTAGCCTTGATCAAACTATATTCTCGTCTCAGAGCATAGCTTGATGATCCTCAGTGATCTCAAATGGCTCTAAATGATACACTGATTTGGGGGCCATGCTGGTTGTCAAATGATGAGTCATATCTGTTCGTAATCCCTCTGGGATAATGTAACCTCACAGCCAGTTCTCTTAGCCACTCTGACAAATACAACCTAACCCACCTATCGTAGCGCCTTGCATAATTAGCACCAACAAAGACTTCCCATTTTGGTCATCTTCTCTGATTCTTCTTCCTTGCAGATGGACCCACACGAGAACATCTTACTGAGCACTCTTGAGATAAAGAACGAAATGGCCACATCTGAGGCTGTGATGGGACTTGGAGACCCCAGGAGCACAATGCTGGCCTACGATGCCACCAGCATCCAGTACCGGAAAGCCGGCTTGCCCAGGCACAGCTTCGGCCGGAATGCCCTGGAACGGCACGTGGCACAAAAGAAAAGCCGCCTGCGGAGACGCGCCTCCCAACTGAAAATCACCATCCCCGACTTGACTGATGTGAATGCCATAGATCGGTGGTCCCGCATATTCTTCCCAGTGGTTTTTTCCTTCTTCAACATCGTCTATTGGCTTTATTATGTGAACTAAAACACAGCCTCCCATGGGAAGCAAGGACTAGATTCCTCCTCAAACCGGTTGTACAGCCTGATGTAGGACTTGGAAAACACATCAATCCAGGACAAAAGCGATGCTAAAATACCTTAGTTGCTGGCCTATCCTGTGGTCCATTTCATACTATTTGGGTTGCTTCTGCTAAGTAATGAATACACTAAGGTCCTTGTGGTTTTCCAGTTAAAATGCAAGTGATTTGTACACATGTTGGCAAGACTGTGTCTGAGTGTTCCACTTTATCTGCTTAGTGTGCAGGCTCTGTTGAGGGGAATTATTTAGAAGCTATTCTTAGAGGGCTCAGGAGCATTGCCAGTCATTTCACTGAGAAGTGGTCATATCCAGATACTCCCCATCGTCATTTCTAACATTGGCATGCTGTTGAGATGGCACTGTGCTTATGAAATATTATATGCAATGCCATGCCAACATGCTTACTGAAGGTGTTCTATGCCTGTCTTACGAAGGTGATAATGGCATCATGGGAAGATAATTCCCACTGGATTGTGGAAGGTTCTCATGTAGTTCAAACAGGATAGGGAGAGTGAAGACAGAAACTCGGTAACCCATCTGGCCAGTCTCTGCTTAAGCATAGGGAGTCAACACTGACGTCTTCCATTTTGACATTTAGAAACTGGGGACTGCTGAACATTATCATGCATGGTGGCCAAGAAAGGTTTCTAAAAAGCTATTTCCTAGGTGGTTAAAATAAGAATTTATTATCCAGAGCAGAGTGAAAAATCCAGAAGTAACTATTTTAACAAAATTAAAGCAAGCAAGCAACATGACCCTTATCATCAGCCCCACACAGCATCTGGTTTATACATATTTTGTGTAATGGCAAAAGGTCCAGAGAGAGATTTTTTCCCCCAACTTCACAAGCTTTTGATAGCAGACCTAAAGAAGTGTTTATAGTTTATCTAATCAAAAGACAACCACAAAATAGAAAAGTTAGCGAAATTAGAATATCTTAGATGTAGGTTAAATTGGGAGTCACTCAAATATACTAACAGCACAGACAAAGCTAGCAAACAGGTTGATCTTCTCAGATGTCAGCTGTCTCTAGTACATTTCCCTGTAAGTTTATTTCTGAATTTAATAGGGTATTTCAAAAGAAGGATTTGTTCATTTCTTTAAAGGATTAATGGTCCTTTCCAGCTTTTCTTGTTTCTGAAATCCTGATTATATTCTTAGGAGACAAAGTAAGGCTTTGAAGAGATTGGTTGAACTATATTTCCTTATGTGCAGTGAAATTCACCTTTGTATTTTTCATAGCAAACAATACTTAAAGGATTATGTGAAGTAGACTTAGTTTGTGGGTTTGTTGGGTTTGACTTTTTAAGGGTGCTTTCATTGTGTATGTTGCAATTGGCCTAATGAAAGAACATATGAAAAGTAGTGTAGCATAGGATAACAACAAAGCCACATTAACATGATGAATGTTATGAGCCTCAGTTGATATTACAGAAAAGTATATAACTGATAGGCAGACATGATGTATTGTTTTTATTCAATTTTTGAATTATGTGAGTGTGCTTTTTTCTATACTAATTGGACATATGCATTCATATGTGAGACAGGAAAGAGAATAAGCTAATATATTTTATTTCTATCAATGTGAGGTTCATATTTTGCTTTTCTTGGGGAAAATAGTGAATTGCTAATTTCTCCTTAAAGTTTGATTTGATTGAATGTTTCCTTGGAGGATGACTTTGCTATTTCTATTTTAAAAACAAAAAAACACTTATTTTTCAAAGTAACATCCCTAATTGTGCAGAGTAAGCCAAGGCCAGTATTTGCCTGTGGATTAAGTGTATGGTTTTTTTCCCCCTGATAATTCAGCAGCTTGGAATATGATCGAGTCCTACTGCCCTCCTATTCCAACTTTCAGGGACAGAGGGGGTAGGAAAGGGTTTAGCATTCAGCTTTCTAAATTTGCTCTAAGATGGGAGGTATTTTTTTTTCCTTCACCAGCAAAGGGAACTCTGGCCTTTATTTTTGATTATACACTTGAACACCTCTGAGTATGGCCTTTGGGCAGAATCCAACCAAGTTTCTGCCCATGGGCTCAGAGTAGAAATTCCTCAAGCTTCTCCAGAGACACACTTTCTCCTAAGCAATCATTTTGGGGCATCACTCTAATAAAAGTGCCTGTCCCTTGTCGCCAGGGGTTAAAGTTTGGGCAGCATATATCAGGAAGGAGCATATCGATAACTCAGGTGCACAACTCCAAAATGCCATTCTGGAAAGGTTTTTCTAGAGACAACTCAGAGCCCAAGTCTAGAAGTGGGCTCTTATTTGCAATTATCATAAAAGCCATAAAAATCCTTGATATTGTCATTTATGGTTACAACAAAATTTAGATGTCCAGGGAAGTCAACATAGTAATCTAGATCAAAGTGAGAGATGAAACTTTGCAGCATGAGCCTCAAAAATATATGACCAGGGATTCATTTCTGCTCGCAGTGACAAGAAGAAACCAGAAAAGGGAGAAACACAGGAGCTTGAAACAGATGCCCTAGAGCAAAATCCATATATTGGCATTCAATAACCACGTAGGTAGAAACGACTGACTCATTCTGCCCAGAGATATCAGTAGATGCAGAATTTATTTTTAACTATATTTTTACTGTAGTTGAATTGAATTTGGTAGTCACCAAATTGAGGGCGGGTCGGGGAGGGGTGCTAGATCTCATAAGTCTTTGAAGACCAGTCAGCTTGATATCCAGTGGTTAAATTTAAGGACCACAAAAATGTGTTTTGGCAATTCTGATATGGTATTACTATCACTTTATACATATATATATAGTTTTCTTTTGATTATGAAACAGCCAGATAGCCAGCAATTAAGGTGTTTTTCATCTTTGTGAAATTCATAGGCAAATTCTGACTCTAAAATGCAGTCTAAATGAAACCTTTGATCTCAATCTGTATATATATATTGTACATGACTGCTAGTAGGTATGAAATGCATTTTCAGAATTGAAAACTCATGCAACATAATCATGTGTTTGCATAAGGAATGTTACAATTCTTTCTACTGCAATTTAATAACAGGGGAAAATACTTAAGCAGTGCCATCTAGACCTTTTCTCTTCTCATGTCTTCAAAAGCAGTGCTAAGTAAAAATAATAATAATAATAATAATAATGGTTTATGAACCAAAAGACTTTACATTCTAGCATTAGGAACACAAAAATTCTGTCAGCTTATACAAAAGCACAACACATAGAGAAAGTTCAGTGGAATGCAGTGGGAAAATGAATCATGTTCATTTAAAGCAAGACCTGCATTAAATTGGCAACTAACACAATTTCCATTTTCTATAGGTAACTGTGTTCCAGTTTTATGATTAAATTCATACTCAACAACAAAAACAGCAAAACAATCAACAAACAACAGGTCTTACAACATATTTACATGTATATATGTGTATATATCAATCCATATAAACATACATACATGTATATGCATTCGTATGTTGGAAAACAAAAGGAATAAGCTAATACATTTTATTTCCTTCATTAAACCAGTGTGTGAGTATTTTCAATTGGCAACCAACAAATCAGCATATTGAAACTAGTAATACAGGGTACTGAGCATTTCTCTATCAGCAGATCAATGCCTACAGTTCTTATGAACCATTGCACAGTTTGACACTACAATAGTACTGTACCTCAGAACATCGGGAATTAACTAGTTCTCACATTGCTTATCTACTTGCTCTCTTTTTCAAGGAAACAAATAACATTGTCTATTGGTGATTTAAAAACAAATAAAGTCTTAAGAAAACAGAAAATGATAAAAAAAAATTCCTCCTTGAAGGAGGAAAAAAAAAATAAACCCCACCATGTTGGTTAGGGCAAATACTCTCAAGTGTAGCAATCATGCCATTTTGCGAAGTGTACAGAGTCCATGTAATGTGAGCAACCATAGCTTTCACTGAGCGTGTGTAAATATTAAAACAGATTTCTTAAATATTTTTAACTTCTAATTTGTATTTTATGGTAAGGCAACGTGCTAATTCTGTTTATGGCTTAAGTTTATGTGTCATAATATGTAAATAATTCAACATGCTGTAAATGAATAGATACAAATAATTGTTTAATTTTTTTCTTGATTTTTATTTATTTTTTACTAAGTACAGTTACTGCAGTGCCCCAGTAGGGTAATTTAAACACCTTTTGCATAAATGGTTTGGGATCCCAGACAGAAGGGTTTCAATTTGCTATCACACACACATGTACACATACATGCATGCACACACACACACACACACACACACACATTCAAACACACATACTCTCACTTTCTGCTCACTCGCTCCCACTCTCATCCCCTTTATGGGAAATGCTGTAGTGTTTCTGTAGTCAATGTAACAACCAAGAGGTAGCCTTAGCAATGGAAATGGGAAAAGCAGAAGTGATCATTGATAACTTGGTAGTGTTTTTATATGTCAGAGTTCAAGAAACCAAAGGTTGTAACTTAAATCTCAATTTTAAAAGAGTAAAAGTTTATATTGATGGCACTACAGGAAATAAAAGTGCTTATTATTCATACCTGTTCCAGAAATTTATTACACATAATACACACAAGACTTTTTTTTAAATAATAGCATTTTGTCCTTAGATAGTATTATTCCTTTTAACCAAAGACTCCAGAATTATTAAAAAACAAAAAAGGAAAGAAAAAAGAAAAAAATGGAAGAAAATAAAAAAAAAGACTGCTTTACACCAAAGGTTTAAAAATATTTTCCAAATACACTAGGAACATTGTAAAAACTAGTAAGGAGCCAACAGAATGTGAATTAAGATACTGCCCTAAAGAAATCATTTAAGAAAAAAAAAGCAGCAACACCCTTAAGTAATCTATTAGTTATTTGAAAATTGAAATAAAACATTTCTGTGGATATATGCAAAATTCTGACATTAGATTTAATTTGCTTTGAAAAGTTCTTTTGTGATAAAGATAAATATGATCCAAATGATGACAAACAA